TTTTGCCCTGGTCTACGCCGTAGACGATGCCGAGTCCTTTGAGAGCGTCAAGAGTCTGCGGGAAGAGATCCTGGAGGTGAAGGAAGACAAGTTCCCTCCCATCGTGGTGGTTGGCAACAAGGCGGAGAGCGGTGGTGAGCGGCAGGTGCCGGTGGAGGACGCCCTCTCACTGGTGGAGCTGGACTGGAACAGCCGCTTCGTGGAGACGTCGGCCAAAGACAACAAGAACGTCCTGGAGGTCTTCAGGGAGCTGCTGCAGCAAGCCAACACGCCCAGCCGGCTCAGCCCGGCGCTCTGCAAGAGGAGGGAGACGTTGCCCAAGGAGCAGGCACTGAGGCCTCCCATGAACAAGACCAACAGCTGCTCGGTGTGCTGAGCTGGCCCCCTGGGCTGGGAGGAAGGCGCCGGCGGCAGCGGCACCAGCTGAAAACTCAGGTGGGCTGGGTGGGGAGAGGTGCTGCCTCCGCCAAAACCAACCCTGCTGCCTCCCACCCCTTCCCTCCTCTTCCCCATCCAGCCCTCCCGGGCCGATGAGAGTTGGAGATGATGAGGAGGAGGAACTTGGAAGGGATGCTGGTCCCTGAGAGGGCGCGGGGCGAGGGCAAGCTCCCGAAAAGGCAGGAGGCGTACCTGGGAAACCGCCATCGGTCTGCTGGCACGTTGCATCTGGGTGGTGGCGAGCTTGCAGGTGGGGGGGCAGCTCCTTGTGTGCCAGGGAAGGCGGGCAAACATCGGGTCTTCAGCTGCATGCATCAGAAGGCAGAGCGGCATGGTGCCCACCGGCGCTGTTCTCCCGGTTCTCACCCAGGTCCTGTGTCACCCTGCCCCAAGCACGTACAAATTCCTGGCACGGCTGCTGTTCCAGTGACAGATCCTGTGTCCAAAGTAGATTTGATTTTGTACCTTGGCATAGAGCATGCAACATGCATCTCTTGTAAGTTTTCTCTTTTTTTTAAGCACACCCAATAAACACGTTGTTGCAAAGTGGAGCTAGAAAACGTCTGGGTTTCTTTCTCCTGTACTACAGATGCTGCAGTGTCTTGTCTCAGTGGTTTATGCCCAGACCCCTTATCACTGCGTTTGCTTTCCCTCCTCCGTGCTTCATTCTTATCTGGAGTGTCCTGGCACTGGTGGAGCCTCCCCTGGCACTGTCAGGACATTCAGTGTTACGGTTTTCCTGACAATTTAACCACTGAAGTTTTTAACAAGCGTGAGTAACTAAAAATAAAACAGCTCTTCTCACGTCCAAGTACAGAAAAGAACAACAGCTATTAAAAGCCAGCTGATCCACTGAAATAAAAACCATAAACACACTAAAAGAAATCATAAACGGAGTGGGAGAAGAGCGCAGAAGGGTAGCATTTACTGCCTGCACGGGTTTCCACTCTCCTCACACAACCCATCCTTGCTGTAATGAGCATTTAACTTGCTCAGCAGCCATGCAAACACAATAAATAAAGGTATTGATGCTCGGAGTAAAGACTCCTCCACCCTAGTCCTGACTCAAGGGACCGGGACAATTCGAGGTCCCCCAGCCCTACAGTATGGTGTGCCCCTGCCCATCCCAGATGATGCAGGATCGCACCCAGTGATGCCAGCCCCTTCCTGACCTGAGCAGAGGAGGAGAAGGTGCTGGCAGGGAGAGCCCAGCCTCCCTGTGGGCATCCCTTGCTGGGGCACCCCAGTGCCACGTCCCCCGTGGGCACTAGCTCAATGACGGAGGCCTCCAGGCAGGTGAAATCCTCCTCCTGGGGCCCGGAGCAGGATGAGGCCAGGGAGCTGGAAGGGGGGAGGGCAGGCAGGGGGGAGGGCAGGCAGGCTCCAGCAGGACCCACTTCTGCTGGCCAAGGCTGTTGTGAGCCCAGTTGCCTTCACTGCTCCGGCTCGCAGCCCCATACCTCGTGCTGCCTCCACAATGCTCCGTGAAGGTATGCGGCCGCTCATCCCCCAGCACCCCTGGGACACCGGGAGCAGGTCACTTTGGGCAGCTGACCCAAGGTGCTGGTGCCCTGCCACGGTGGGGATGGGCACGGCGGATGCAGCCACAGGTAATGCTGCACTGTGGCTGTACTCATCACCTGAGCCACCCTGCCCTGGCCAAATGGGGACGGGGCTGTCCCCCCAGCCCTACCCATACTCAGCCCTGACCAGGGTGACCTGGCTGTGACAGGCACCTCCCAGCCAGTGCAGTGATTCCTGCCTGGATGACCCCACCTCTCACAAATCAACCAGCCCTGCAGGGGATTCACAACGTGCAGCAGGATTTGTTTTGCTCCAGAGCAGGGTCACGCTGGAATCAGGGGCGCAAGTTGTTCGGTTTACAATTTGCAGTGTGAAATTAGGAATCTGGGATGAGCATGCCTGCCTGCCGGCCCCCTCCTGCACCCTGCATCCTGCGTGTTTTGATCCATGATCTGTTCTGGAAACACCTCCTTATCTCTGGGGTGTCCCAACAGCTTTTCCAGGCTCCAGCTGGCAGTGCACCCCACCAGAGCCAGCATGGGGAGAGGGTCCCCTGTGCCCACCGCCAGCTTCCCTGGGCAGAACAACAACCCCCGGGTGCTTCAGGGCACCCGCCCCCAGCCAGCCCGGGCCCAAGACCTGTGGGGCTGCTGGCCGG